TTTTTAACTTTTTTCCCGAAAATTTACATACAGGCTCGAAATAATGCGATTAAAGTTCAGATATCGTCGCTTGGATGGAAAATTGCCGGAAGCGTCAGTTTGACAGTAGTTATAGATGCAGTTATTTATTTATTTATTTAATCAGCAAATTTTGCAAAATAACTTTGCAAAATATAATGTCAGCACCGGACGTCTAGGTCATTGAGTGCCATTGTTGATGTCGCTTTTAGTTAGATTTGATTATTGAGGTGATGAATTTCTAATGCTTTTTCTATTACTTCGATGTTGCTATTGTTACAATCCAGGATGTTTTTAATGCTTTTATTAATCTTCGAGTTTGGGCATACTGTAAGTATGTGCTCTATCGTGAGTGTTGTTGCACAAAATGAGCAAGATGGTGGTTGAGTTCTGGTGAAGATGTAGGCAGTGTTAAAAAGGGCAGTTCCAGTCCGAAGCCTAGCTAATTTGATGCATTGACTACGTGATAGTTTTGTGTTGTAGTTGTCCCTGGAAGTTGCGGCTTCTATTTGCAGAGCCTTTGTCGTTCTTAATATGATGCTCGCATGGCATGGGACTTCTGGTATCAGGGGAAACTTAAAACATTCTTTGGCGGCTTGGTCGGCTCTTTCGTTGCCTACTATTCCAGTGTGTCCGGGGACCCACAGAAGTTTTATTGGTTGCTTTAGAGTATCCTCTGACACGAAACTGTGGGCTTCATTGCTTTTATTTGCAATTACATTGAGGGCGCTAAGGCTGTCTGAGCAGATAATTGCTTTCTTATCAAGACTTGCGGCAAAGGATATTGCGTATTTGATTGCAGTTAGTTCGGTGCAGAAAATGCTCGCATGCATTGGGAGCAAAGCTTGATGGACCACCCTGAATTGCCCGCCCCTTTCCTGAGCCACTACGGCATAAGATGGGGTGTCGCATGTTACCGATCCATCTGTAAATATTATTAATTGTTGGTCTGTATCATTGATGATCTGAAGAAAGCTTTGGACATATGCTTCTCGTGTATTTAAGATATTTTTTGTTGAGTGTATTGATGTATANCCCTGAATTGCCCGCCCCTTTCCTGAGCCACTACGGCATAAGATGGGGTGTCGCATGTTACCGATCCATCTGTAAATATTATTAATTGTTGGTCTGTATCATTGATGATCTGAAGAAAGCTTTGGACATATGCTTCTCGTGTATTTAAGATCTTTTTTGTTGAGTGTAGTGATGTATCTATCGTAATAAGATGTGTTGTATCTTTTTTGTTTTTAGACGGTTTTGCTGGAATAGGGATGTGAGCGTCATGTAGCATTTGTGTTATTCTTTTTAAACTGCATGTTTTGTGTATGGGTACACGATCGTTTTCTATTCTGTCGAGAAAATTCCAGATGAAATCGTGAAGTGGATGCTCATAATTGGTAATGGATTTCGCGGCTAGATTTGAGGAGTTTTTAAACCGCAGACTTTGAAAATCTGTGATTCGCGCTTCTATTTTGAGCGTGGGTATAAGAGTTGTTTTAAGTAGTCCAGAAGCTGTTCTGTAGCATTTAAATAGTTCGGTATTAAGTGTTTGATATTTTTGTTGGACGTCCAGCCGTATAGTGTGATGCAGTGTTGTAAAATACCTTCAGTGAGTGTACGACAAATAGCAATTGCGGTGTCTATGTGTGGGCCTTTTCGTTTAGTGCACATGACTTTGAGTACATTGTTGACTTTCTTAAGCTTGTCTTTTAGGACATTAATATGATTGTTCCACAACATATTTTTTGAAAACTGTATTCCTAGTATTCTCAAGCTATTTTGTAAAGGTATTCTACGTCCTCGAATAAGGATTGAACTGGCATTGCAATTATTTTTCCGGCAAACATGGAGGGCTGTTGTTGCTTCAATGGGTACTGAGGAGCCTGTGTCCATGGCCCACTTATTTATATTTTCGTAAAATTTTTANCAGCTGCAAAGATATTGTCTGCATATATACCTATATACGAAATACCTTGCACATTCTTTATCTGCTTTAGTAAGGAATTAGCGTAAAACGTATAAAGTACTACTGAAAGAGGCGAACCCTGTGGAATTCCGTTTTCTAGTTTCCTTTCCTTTGAAAGGTATCCGTCGACTCTGGCTGTAATCCTTCGATACGAGAGGAAGGAGAGAGAGAGCTTAAGGATATTCATCGGTAGTCCACATTTATGCATTTCTTTTATTACTTCCGTAGAAACTACTCTATCGTATGCTTTTGCCAGGTCTGCGGAAAAAACGACCGTATGTTCTCTGCTTAAGTACTTCAGTTGTCCTTCTAATGTATGTGTAAGAGTGTGTACTCCATGTTTGGGGATGAATGCATGTTGTTCTGCTTCCAGCTTATTGCTGAAGCTCCTCCATATTCTGTTGGCTAGAATTTTATCAAAAGTTTTCGCTAATGTGGGCAAGAGGGATATTGGACGGTACCCTTCAAGAGAGTTTGGGTTTTTTCCGGGTTTTGGAACGGGAGTAAGGATTGCATGCTTCCATCCATGTGGGCATACTCCTGTATCTAAAATACGACTAAATAGGCTGCATATACGGGATTTTAGGGTGATGGATGCGTTCTTTAACATTGAATAGGTTATTTTGTCATGGCTGGGAGTGGTTCCTTTAGAGGTTTTGAGAGCTGCCTCAAGTTCTTGGAGCGTAATATTTTGGGTTACTTGCTTCGACTGTGGCGTTTGTGGTAAATTCTCTACAATCAAGGAATTTTTTGGTCAATGATAGTTGACTCAAACGACTCATTCGAGCTTGCTGCGCTCCAATGTGCACCTAGGGCTTCAGCAATCTGTTCCGGGTGCTTGAGTACAGCATTGGCAGTTAGTATCTGTGGGAAACAGAAGAAACGTTGACATTTGATCTTATGCCAAAGGTGCTTTGGATCGAGTGTGGGATTAAGCGAGTTTAGAAACCGATTCCATGCCGCACATGATTTCCGAAATTCTACGCTATTGTGAGCTGTTTGGTTCTTTTTAAACCGTTTTCATCTCTCGTTTTTGACTTTAATAAGATTTGCAATCTGACTGTTGAACCAGACTGTGCTATTGTGCTTAGGTGCTGAAAAGGTGGTGGGCATGGCTTCGTTTGCAGCTTTCCTCAAAACTTATTTTTATTTGGGCGGCTTCTCTGTTGACGTTAACTGATTGAGTGAAATTTTGTGAGTAGACGTTAGTTTTATTTGTAAATAGAGGCCAATTTGCCTTGTTAGTATTAAACCTGGGGTTGATTCTGCTGTTGATGTTCAGCATGTTGTTGAAAATTAGGATTGGAAAATGATCGCTAGACCCTGACGAAGGAAGACAATTCCATGTCAGAACCGGAGCTATACCTCCGCATGCCATTGAGACGTCAACGTTTGTTAAAGTATTTCTCGTGTTTAGCAGTGTGGGAGATCCGTCGTTGAGAATTACAAATTGTTTATCGTTTGCAAAGTCTTCCCATAATTTTCCGTTCTGATTTGTTTTCTTTGCACCCCACAATGCGTTATGTGCGTTTAAGTCACCACCCAGTAAATGATATCCGTTATGGTAGGTGTGTATGTCGTCCAGGTGTTGAGCTGTTGAATATAAGTCTGTCTCGCGGTATATGTTGGTTATGTGCAGGTCTTTTAACGCGTGTATGATGATAGATTGAAAGAGAAGATTATTGTTAGATAGTTTGTAATTAGAAGTATTCAAAGTTTCCTTTACGAGGATTGCAATACCCGCTTTGGAATATGAGTAAGTTTTGTTGAAGTGATACACTTTATAATGTGGAAGATATATTCTATTTTTCTATTATGTGGGTTTCTTGTAACATAATAATGTCGGGTTTGTGTTTGGTTACGAGTAGCTCTAGTCCGAACTTATTGTTTAGAAATCCCTGTATATTCCATTGAAGAATTACGAGACTGATACCTAAATCATATATATATTATTTCTCTAAGGTGTTTTTTTGTTAGTCTCCCTTTTTCTATTTTCCTATGTAAGCAGTTCCACTAATGAGCTGTCATTTGAAAAGTCAGAGGTCCCCTGAGTGGTTATTAGGTAATCTTAATGATCATAACACCTCTGAAATAAAGAAATTTGTAATTTTATTTTTGTTTTTAATTTACCACTGTTAAGCCACACTAAAGGTATTTTGTACTGAAGCACTATTGTGACTGCAGCATCGCATAGTATACGACAGTGGTGGGCGCACACATAACTCAATAATTAAAGGTTCGATAAACTGACAGTTGTCTCTCTCGCACCGCTCCCTTAGNCAAAGTTTGGTAGCCGTGACAAATGAATTCATACACAAACAGACATTCTGCCATTGTTTCTTATAACTTGCTTCAAATAAATAGCCTTTATGTTATATGTACATTTATTTAAATAGATATCTCGTAAATATAATTTTTTCCAATTTAGTGAGGTAGTTTCTATAATTTCTTTATCCCCGTGCTAGTAGTATAAAGTTAGTGACACTGCGCTTTATAACCAAAGAAAACACGACTATTGACGCATGTGTAAACGAAAAGAGAGTGTGGGTCGTTCATGTAACAGAGTGCATAAACTTATAAGATTATCTGCTTGATAAAGTTATCGGTTTAGATGAATACCACTAATAATAATAACGAATTAAATAGTATAGTGCTCAATATTAAGACCGTGAAATTATAAATAAAAAAGAAATATTTAAAATAACGTTACACAATTTAGGAAAACATTGAAAAAATCACCGTTAGAAAATACTGTGCTTCAATAACCTCAATTTTCTTATATAATTATATTATATATATAGTATAATTTGCAGTAGACAATGAAATTAAAAAAAAAAACATTATAGAATAGCCAAAAATTGGAAAATGTGGTACAATATCAAAGTTGTGGTAGGTATCAAATTCGTAAAGGGCATTTCCACTATGCTTGAATTGCGCAATTTCGTCAATATCCTCAATTTCAGCTGAAATCGCGATACAATTCTCAATTTGACCATATAAAAAAATGTCACGAGAAATTGCGTATGAATTTTCAGCGAAATTGAATTCGCGAATACAACTCTGAAAATTGCTTATTGTGATTTATTCATGAGCAAAAAGAAGAAAAACCAAACGTCAATAACAAAAAAACAAACCGAGCCTACAGTCACAATAGCACTTCAATACTTTTACAATACTAATTACCGATGTCAGTCAGTAGACGGCGCGCTATAGGGGTTTCCTTTGTCATGAATTATGAAGTCAAAAATGTATAAAAAATTAGGTACGAATTCGAAAAGTGAGCACAACATTTTTTTTTATACAATTACGATCTTTTAAAAGGCCTATCAGGTAATAAGTAGGTAATCTATTATAAATTTTTTACAGTAAAATATTTACTATTGAAGTAATAAATAAATACAACTTTTTCCAAGTAACTTACATCAAATTAAATTTTTTTCATTCTAAATGTAGTGAATATACGTACATAAATTCAAATATAAAAGCCGAAAACCATATTGTGATCGTATTGGGATTCGATTTTGAAACCGCGCTACTACGCATACCCTAACTATAAACTGGTGATATATAAAGTCGTCACAACTAACAAAATCTTTCACGTGTGAGTCATCGTGCACTTAAGATGGCATTCAATATTTAAATCTTTAACATAAAATGCTTTTTGTATTCCTCAGTTCTTATATATATTTATATACGAGTATATATCTTTACTACTAAATACAACATCAAGAAAACATTATTTCTTTATAAAAAATTTTAAATACACTATTTTCCCCCAGTAGATTATTATGTCTAAAATAATATCAGAAAACACTTAAATATTTAACTATAGAAATTAAAAGTCACAAATAACATTTTTTCAAAACTTTTGATTAGTATTGACAGCTGCTAAATATTTATGCCGCTTTCTTTTTAGTTTTCATGATTTCATGAAATCATTTACGAATTTTTATTCAATTCTGCAATATAAACCACACAATTCGTACATGAACGAAGCTGTTAAAGCGCGCCATCTGTGGCATCACCATAATAACACTTAACTCCAAAGTACTGTGCTATTGTGACTTCAAGCTTAAACATAACTGTAATCCAAATAATAGGAATTTCAATAATAAGAATTGTAGCAGTCTGCGCTGTCAGTTTAAAATATTCACTTATTCCTCTTATGATAAAAGCTGCGAAATATATTTATCGCGTAAATTGTAGATACGGTAAGTACATTCATATGTGTATTGGTATTATGGTATTTTTTGTAAATTTCGCATCACAATCTTATTTGCAGCCCATATTGTTTCTGGCTACCCTGTCGGAAAAATATTCGGATATTCCTTTTATCATAACAGCTAAGCAATAAATTTATTACGAGTATTATTGGTATGGTAAGCATATTGGTGTTTGGTATTATGGTATTTTTGGTGATTTTCAATTCAACATTTCATTTACAGAAACATTTTTCCATTAGATATACTGACATATTGCGTTTATCTCATAAAGTCTACATAAAATCGGTAACTTTATAATTTCAAAAAGTTATTTTGTTGATCGTAATAACCATTTTTACTACTATAGGTTTCAATTTAATATAATTACGCTTAACAATGCCTCGAAAAAAGTGTATAGGAGTGTCAGCTGATCGCAAAAAACGTAATTGCCTTCCAATAAACCAAGATATGCAACAACGGCAGATATATTTGCAATTTAGTAGTGTTTTGGTGCCATCATATTTTCAGCAATTAAGTGAAGATGTCAGTGCAAGGAGGCGGCAAGAAAAGCTACCAAAGACGTATTGCGGTGCACGTATTTTCCTTAAAGACGATGAGATAGAATCAAATAGTGTTGAACGCATGGAGAAGATATGGGAGTTTTGCTCAGCTAAACTTTATCCAGGCGAGGCAGCTGATAATACTGCATCCATCTGTTGTCATAAGAGCTAGGTGAGTTTACCACCAATTTCTGTCCGAAAGAACTTATTGAGCGCAATGATGACATCACAAAAAACTATTTGGAGAATATACGTAAATTTAACAACGCTCTTGCGTTTGCTTCAGTGCAGGTGAACTTTGACAATATACCGGGTAGAGGACAATTTTGTTTTAAACTAGAGTAAGACGATTCTCAGATATTATTGTTTCTGTTAAAGAAGCATTTAATCAAAAAGTTAATTCTGAATATATTTTATTACAAAGATATATTGTAAGTGACACCACATTTCCCTCAACTCATGACACTCATATATCAGTCAGTTTGTAATATGTTTTTATGTATGTACCTAATAAGTATAAGTTCTGATGTACTATAAATCTCATTAATGCTTTGTAATATATGTATAATAAAAATAAGGGGTTTATAAGAATAATTATTTCCGCGAACTATTAGAACAGTCTGCTTCTATCTGTGGCTACAAAGAGGGATGAGTTTACTGTATATTTCTGTCTGCGCAGACTGCGCATGGGCCCTCTTGTCCATAATTATTGTTATTATTATTTTTTATTTTTTTTTATTGTTAGTTGTCTATAATTTAGGCTCTTCTTCGGAGTCTGAGACAGACATAAAATATTTGTCTGCTGATAGAAGTTGCTGAGTTATATTGCTGAGTGGAGATGCGCTAGTGTTGGTTTGTGTGTTGATTGGTGCTTTGCTGAAGTGTGGTAGTATACATTCAAGTGAAGTGTTCGTTGTTGTTTTCTTAATGCTGTCGTTTGCATTTTTGTTCATATTGTTAGTAACTTGGGTAGTTGTCCTTTGAATAGCGGTGACGTTGTCGGTTTTGCTTTTGTTTGGAGACGTATGAGTTTTTGGTATTTTGGTCGTATTGGTTTTTGTTGGTGAAGCAGATCGTTTGAATGTTGTTATTGTTGGCGTATTTGATTTGTTAGTATCTGATCGGCAGATGTTGGAATATGTTTCTTGAGGTTTTTGTACATGATTTAAACATTCGCTATATTTGCGGCGGGCTTCGCCCATCGAGCACTTTTCGATTTTTTTTATTTTTAAGATTTCTTTGGTTTGCTTATATCTAGGGCAGTCTCTATCCGAAGAGAAGTGAGCTTCGCCACAGTTTGCGCACTGTTTACGTGTACATTCTGTTGGGGAATGGGGTGGTAAGTTGCATCCATCGCATGTGCTAGGGTTAGTGCATCGGGTTTTTGTGTGGCCAAGAAGTTGGCAATTCTTGCAGCGCATCGGGTTTGGGTAATAAGGGGAACCTTTTACCTTGTACCATGCTATGTCCAGAGTTTTTGGAAGATGGTATAAGTCGAAATTGACTGCCATTTTTCCAGTGGGCATTGTCTTGCCATCGAGTGTGCGAGTGAATTTGTAAATGCCTGATACTCCCTGACTTTTTAATTCTTCGATGATTTCTTCTTCTTGTACGAAGTTGAGACATGGGGCATAAATCATACCTTTTACCGTGTTAAGGTTTTCTTGCAACTTGACCGTGATAGGGCACACGTTTGATAGAGTTTTAGTTTTCAGAAATTTATTTAGAGAGCCGTCTTTTAGTTGTTTGATGCTATCTATTTGGGTTGATATCGCATCAATACCCTTTTTTATTATAAACGAAAGTTTTGCTAATTGGTTGTTAGTTGATGATATTGTCAAGTATTTTGGTTGGTTGATTGCTGTTTGTTGTTGGTGTAATGTAGGGAAAATGTGTGTTCGCTAAGCATTGAGCAGCGATTTGTTGTTTTGTCCAGGGTTCGTATTTGCACACACATGCTCTGCTCACACACACGCCAGAAACACATTCAACTTGCACTCACTGCTCATACACATGTGTGTGCATAAGTGGAAAACAAACTCTACTCACAGAAAAGTGTGTGCTGTTTGTTATTAAGCACATGCACATGTGTGTGAGCCGATTTTTGTACAAATTTCAGCCCATGCACATGCACATAATATATTCTTAAAAGAATTTGTTTATTAAACGTTATTTTTTGAAAGACTATTCAATAAAAAGTGAGATGTTGTTTGTTTTTTATATGACAGAAAACATATTAAAAAATTATTTTAAGATTTGAGTTAGAATTCGAAGTGTATAAGTTTCTCTACGCATAGCACACACATGTGCGTGTGCTTTACATTAATAAAAAGAAAGTACACACATGTGCCCGTGCTTTTTACCAAACGGCACACACATGTGATGTGAGCAAATTTTTAATTTTTTATATGCACAGCACACGTGTGTGAGCTTAAAATGTTAGGATGTGCTGCACATGTGTGTGCAAATACGAACCTTGGTTTTGTCCGGTGGTTCAGGTGATGGTCGCATTTTATGTGTGTATAAATGTGAATGTAGCGATTTTTTGTATAGTACGATGCACTTGTTTGTTACTACGAAAGTGTAATAAAACGGAAGAGTGAACACTGTGTATGATTGTTGTTTGTATTAGGTGCGTTCGTTTAAAATCTCCAGCAGAAACCAACCTACTGCCAAATTCCGGCGAAATGTCATCTGTTCGCTCACAAGAGAGAAATATCCAAAATAGTACGCGAACAGAAAATTTGCAGAAACTTGCAAGTTGGACGAACAGCTGATATAATTTTTGTTTACATTCAAAAGTGTAAAATTTAAAACGTACGAAAACTCATTACAAAGTGGTATCCTGGCACAGTTTATTGATTAAACAAATAACTACTTATTTCTTACAAATTTAATTAGTCGCATTTTGAAATTTTTATCTTCCAAACCATCAAATTCAATTTTGTGATTTGCGTAAATGCCATCCAGCTGTTTTTGATCAGCTGTTTTCCTGTTGGCAAATTGCTGTTGGCAAAAATTTTTCCAGCAGAAACCAGCAGCTTCCCCTCAAAATGAAATGTCAGTTTGCTCTCTCAATTTCCCCTACTTTGCAAGTTTTTTGCGTACGCGAACGCAAAAACTTGTAAGTTTTGGTTAAACATGAACAATTAACAGCTACGCGAACGAACCTATTATTTATTCGCTACCGACAATGGCACTTGCTAACACGTCCGAACCGGTTGATAGTTAGTCGTTAGTATTTTTTCCACCAAATTTGGTCCCCATAAAGCGCTAGTGTTGCCAGCAACGCTTTTTCGGCAATTAGGGTATGTGCAGCTATTTAATGTGGTGAAAATTATTTATTCACATGAAATTGGAGATAGGGCTGATAGATTTACTTTAAATAAATTGTGAATGTTCGAAAATATCTTTTCAGCAGATGAATATGTTTTTTAACTTTTTTCCCGAAAATTTACATACATGCTCGAAATAATGCGAGTAAAATTCAAATATCGTCCCTTGGATGGAAAATTGGCGGAAGCGTCAGTTTGACAATTTGTAGTTATAGATGCAGTTATATATTTTAAAGTCAAATATTTCGATTTTTTTTTAACTGGTTTTTGGATATCTTCTTTAGTTTCCGAGTAATTGACTAAAATGTTTTCGGCTATTTGGTACAAATTGCGTTAGTATTGCTGTCGTGCTAAACTAATCAAGATCTTTCAAATAGAGTTACCTATTCTTCTTTAGTTTCCGACATATTCAGCCTTATCATGAGTTTCATTTTCTAGAACCGGCTCACTTTTTCACTTTTCGTTTGCGTGTATTCACTACAGGTGGATGAAAAAATTGTTGGCGAAATTTTGTTCGGGCGAAACTCACGATTAGGCTGATTAGTAAAAAGCATCGTTAATTTATAAAAAATTGTTATCACATTTTGGCGTATATCATTAAAACTGATTGAAAATTTTTTGACAAATGTCATATACTACAAAATTTTATTAAACTCAGAAATGGGTGACACTAAACTCAAAAAATAAGATAATTTAAGAATTTCGTGAACTAGTACATAGCATTCTCGGACACTTTGGAGAAGATCTGTAGTCGTGTTTCTGAGAAAATGCATTCCAAACTTCAATCGGCAGTTACCGAAAGTAACTTGTGACAATCTTTTATCCAGGCGACGATATAACAATTAGCTAAAATATGCATCTGTAGGAGTCGAAAAGGTTTAGGAGTAGAATGTACGTGTGCTAGTTTAAGCAAATTGTTTGTAACTAAAGTAATATTAGTTGGCAACCCTAGCTTTTAGGACTAGTAGCGATAACTCGTTGTAACTAGCGATTAAGACTCGTTGTAAAGGACCCGCCATTTTCAGAATAAAAAAAAGAGATTCATTCGATTTTTGCCAACGAACACTTCGGACTTTCTTTTATTTTGTCACTTTGCCTTCTGCATATTTAACATCTAAATAAGTTATAATTGGCATTATTCTCGCAGTTGGAGTAACAGGTATATACATACAAGTATACCCAAATTAGCGCGTTGAGCTTGTATATTTATCTCTCTAACGCATCAATTCTATATACGTCAGCACCAACGCCCGACAAAGTAATGTCTGTATTTAATAATGGCTCTATAACAAAATATTCATGAAATGTATTCGTAGATTTTTATTTACTTCATTTCATACACTAGTATTGATCTGAATGTTTTTTTACTAAATAGCAGGAATAAATATTTAATAAAAATTTGTTGCTCGGTGCTAATTTTGGAACGCTTCATGAAATATTTTCATAGACAGTAAATGCAACCCTGGGTGCATCATTAATGAGCTGAAAAACCAAACAAATAAAAATATTCCATCTGAACCAATATTCCCAAAAAATTATAAAGCAAAACAAAAACAATTTTTCCAATTTATGTACTGTTATTTTTATTATTGCAGTACAGTTTCGCAGCTCCTCAAACATTTTCCACATTATGCTTTTAAAGCTAGTAGTTTCCGACCCCATTTGCTCGTTTTTTTTCAGTTCTGAATTTAGGCTAGGTTTCATGGGAACTTACTGTGGGTGCAAACAGACCACATTTTGTAAATATGTACATATGTATACACTTCAACTGAATTGTGATATTTAATTTTATTTTATAATGAAAAATGAATTTAATGTGCAATTTTTTAAGTTTACTGAATGTAAGACAATTTTTAATTTTCTTTATATATTGCATGCTTTAGTTTTAATTATTTTTAAGTTAAGTTGTAAAGGTGAAAATAGGCCTCCTGGGGAACCGAGCACCTTACAAAAAAAAAAACGATAACGCGCCTAAAAGCATACCTCACAAGTGGTGTGGAAAATGCAAGAACAAATATAAATGGAATAATTTTCGAAATTATGAAATGGTTAATGGTATTTTCCATCTCAAAGGGGATGATTAATTTGAACGTTATTTAAGCTGCCTTTACACGGTCGATTTTTGTCGTTTAACCAAAATCTACCCGTGTAGATTGCAATTCAACCGTAAAATGTAAGCGTTTTGGCTAGTCGATATCTTAGACAATTTTCCAATCGACCGAAATCGACCCGTTTAAAGGCAACTTCAGGAATTTTTTAATTTTCTTTTTATTTTTTGCTTGGGCGTCTTTTAAAGATGTGCTAAATTATATTGTCGCTTTAAATACAAAACAAAAATTTCTTTAAGCCATCTTGTGCAGCAATTTGTTGATCTTATCCTCACGGCTACCGAAATCACCAACCTCAACGTAGTGATTAGCCTTCTTGCGCCAGCCTCGGGTTGATGTGTTGAG